AATGCTAGGTAGCACCGGCAGGAAGAGAGAGGGAAGCCCATTGACAGAGTTCATCATCATTAACAGGCACCCAATTTCGGAGAACCAAACACAAACAGAAAAGGAACGGAAAGATAAACATTAGCAACAAAAGAAAATTGTTTTTGTTCCCATAAAAAGGCAACTTGACCTAGGCACAACACTGGAAGAAACTGGAGATGAGAAAGAGAGCACAGGAGGCGCAGATGAGGTAGAAGGACTCCGCAAATTTGTAGTCCTGGTCCTTGAAGGGAGAGTACAGGGGCGACAGCGCAGTGTCATCCTGGCAGTAGCCCTTCATATATCCATACACAAGAAGGGCCACGCACACCCCAGACGCCGCAAACGCAAGAAGAACTAATAAGCTTATGCATATAGTAAGGCAACAGTTCTTTACATTTGCAATAACGTGTGCAGTGACGAGCCCCAAAATGATGAGGCCAACACCAGCTGCACCCACAGCGGTGCCCTCGGAGACCCGGAAAAACAGCTTGTACTGCCCGCACAAGCTCTTACTCACCTTCTGCTCGGTCTCATTGCCATCGGGCAAGATCACCTCATTGTACCACAGCGTCTGCTTCATCGTCACAAGCTCTTTCTTCTTCTGGAAGACAGGGAAGATGTTGGCACACACAGCACAGGCGGTGGCCAATATAGCCAAAACCAACACCAGTACGCGGAAACAAGGACAGCAGCACATGAGTCCTTTTTGGCGAGTGTGGGAGAGCCTACTTCTTGCCTTGCGCTTGCAACGGAGACACGGAGAGCAGGAGGGGAGAGAGAGAAGCACTGGCGCCAGCTCTCCTTCAGTGCAGCGAAGAGTCATCAATGCTAGGTAGCACCGGCAGGAAGAGAGGGAAGCCCATTGACAGAGTTCATCATCATTAACAGGCACCCAATTTGGGAGACTCGCACATAAGCAGAAAAGGAACGGAAAGATAAACATTAGCAACAAAAGAAAATTGTTTTTGTTCCCATAAAAAGGCAACTTGACCTAGGCACAACACTGGAAGAAATAGGAGATGAGAAAGAGAGCACAGGCGACGCAGATGAGGTAGAAGGACTCCGCGAATTTGTAGTCCTGGTCCTTGAAGGGAGCGTACAGGGGCGACAGCGCAGTGTCATCCTGGCAGTAGCCCTTCATATATCCATACACAAGAA